GTTTCATTCTTTGGCATCCATTTGTTGAAAAGGCTGCCCTGGATGTGCTTTAGTACTTTGTCAACAATGAGGTGGTTATAGGTACTGGGTTGCACTTCTGGGTTTTCAAATCTAACTCACTGGTCGTCACGTCTATTGTTGTACCAGTACCAGGCTGTTTTGATTACCATGGATATAGAAGAGGTTGTATAGTCTGGGAGTGAGAGATGTTTTTATTTTTAAATATTTATTTATAGTGTTTTACTAATCCTAGGTTTTTAACCTTTGCATATAGAGTTGGTAATTAGTTTTTCCATTTCTTTAAAACATTATGGTGGGATTTGGATAGGAAGTTCATTGAATCGGTAAAGTAATTTGGGTGATATTGACATGTTCACAATATGTAAGTCTGCCTTTCCAGGAACATGTTCACTTGTTCCATTTATGTAAGTGCCTTTTGCTTTCTTGGAAGTAGTACTTTGTAGTTTTCTTTGTAAAACTCTTTTGTTTCTTTGGTAAGATTTACTCCTAAATATTTTATCTTTTCTGTAGCTATTGTAAATGGTATCGTTTCTTTGATATCTTTTTTTGCCCTCCAGTATCATCATCCTTAATGTACAAGAAAGAATCCAACTGATTTCTGTAATGTTGACCTTATAGCCTGCTATGCTGCCAAATTTCTCAATCAGTTTGAGCAATTATTTAATTGAATCTTTGGGGTCCTCTCTCTTTCTAGGATTGTATTGTCTGTAAATAAAGAGATATTTCTTCTGTGCCTATGTGGCTATGTTTAATTTCTTTTTCATGTCCTATGGCTCTAGCAAAAACTTCCAGTGGAGCAGGTATCCTTTTGCTTTGTTTCCGTGGAGCAATCTGGCTCCGAAAGACGCCTGGAACAAACAGATGGTTGACCAGACTCAACCTCCCAGCCAACAGTCCAGTAGGTAACAGTACCGAGGTAGACAGCTATCTAACCCTCCACTGAGGCCACATCAGCTCTAAGCTGATTGCAGCTTGTCTGCTCCTCGCAAAAGTTTCCTCAGGATGGAGGTGGAAATGGAGGGCCTACTTACCATCAGTCCGTACTCCTCACTGGGGGCCAAGTGGTTGTCAGTGAGCAGCCGGGCGGCCTGCAGCACTCGGATAATGCCCTCCATGTGGCAAGTCAGAGTGAAGCAATGATGGGCCAGGATCAGCAGCTCTGTGGCTGGGGCGGGGGAAGGAAACACAGTTACTCTTAGTACAGGATTGTGAGCCTTGGTCAGTCACTGTGAGGGAGCAGGCTCTCACACGGGTCCTTTGGAGTCCCTGACTTTAGCAGTTCTAGCTCTGGACAGGCCCCCCCCCCCCCATGTCTAAAGTACAGGTTTCCCTGACTACCTGAAAGCAGAGTGTTTGTGTGAAATCTTTCTAAACAGAAGTGAAGTAGAGCAAAGAAACAACCGCCCTGAACTTAACGTGGGAAAAGTTCCCAGAGCTAAAAAAAAGAACCTGGCCAAATCAAACCCAATAACGTAAAACCTACACTCTCAATAACACAGCAAAAGCAGGAATGGTGTAAATACACAACCTATAGGAAGGGACGTCAAAAAGTTTGTGGAAGAATCCCACTGCTTTTTAATTCCCTTTTTTCAACAAAGCCCCGCATACTAAGCAGAAACAACCTGGGGACAGCACCGCAGAACCCGGAAGGAACCCGGCAAAGGCAATCCCCGCAGGGGGGGGGGGGGGGGAGGTTGCCTCTTTAAGAGCTCGCTGTGAAACTACCTCTGAATACTAGTGTTTTTTGTAAAAGTGAAAATCCTCTTTGGATTTCTTTCCAGTAACAAAATAGGGCTAATGTAGGACTTTTTATAAAACTGGTGTAAAGTGAACTTTTGAAAAGCAGGAGGCAGCTGTTGTCTCTCAATGACAGCACGGGTGCCTGCACAGGCCACAGCCAATGAGAACAGGGACACATTCTGTGTGAAGAGGAAACAACTTCTCTGTAGACAAGCTGGTAGGGAAATGGAAGGGTGCCCCTGCTTATAGCTCAGCAGAGGGCCTTGGGGCTAACTAATCAAGTGCCCCGGTGGTTCTGAAATGGTGGTGAGAGACTGGACTAGGAACAGATTTAAAACCACGACACCCTTAGCAATCACTCTAGGTACAAACTGAAAGACAAACTGGGGGAAATACATCCAATGTTGAGGGCAGAAAAGAGATTCCCATCAAAGAATCGACCTGAGCTTTGGTTCCTCACTTCTCAAGGAGATAGTAACAGCCACTTTGTAGGGTTCTGTAGAAACAGAATACAATAACTGGGAAATATGAAAAGGTTACCTTTTTGTGTGCTTGAGAGTGTTTTCCCTTATTTCCTAAAAGTTCTTCAATGAACCTAATGTTTTCCACCAAGAACTTGCAAACTGTGCTCAGGGGAGGGACAATGACCCCACACGAGTTGGGGACCAACTGACTCTGGAAAACTGTTACGAGTTGGCGCAACTCCTAAGAAAACAGCCAGTGACTTACTGCAAGACAGTTCCCCATGGGGCACAGAGGAGATTTTATCCAGCAACTTCATCCCCACGAGGGTGCGGTCTTGACACAGCATGGTCAGCTGCAAGAACGGCTGGGTTTCCTCCGCAGGGCTGAACATCAGCTTGTGTCCTAAGTGGAGAGAAGTGGGGAAGGCACTGGTTCTGCCATGAGAAAGGTGGGGGAGAGGGGAGAGCGGAGAGCCCCTGCCAGACATCCCTCTGTAAACCTGAGCCCAGTGCTCCTTGGTGTGCCCTGTGGTTACCTGACCGGGCGGCAGGCCTTCTCAGGCTCAGAGAGAGGCACAGGTACTAACACAAAAGTCACCCAAAAAGGCAATGTGCTCTCTTTTACCAGTGTCACCTGGATATGAGAGGGCACCTGACAGGAAAGCCATGGGCCTAGCACCCAAATCCTGAATGTTGAGAACCTGGGAGACTGGGGAGCCCTGGCGCAGATCACCTGATCCTTCTGATGGGGTCAGCAGCTCCCGTGTCACCTCTTCAGCCACTAGTTCAGCCACAGTGTCCGGCTTGAGGCCCTGAGTGCTGATGAAGGCCTGGGCTCGCTTGCATCGGTCAGGCTGCTGAGAGGTCAAGATTGCCCGGAGCACGGCCTCCCCATCCTGGGCAGCGACCTCTGCATAGGAACAGCCCAGCTCCTAAGGAATGCAAAGCCAACCATGGCTCTGGTTAGATTAGGGGGTAGGTGGTGGGAGTGAGCTACAGACAGCCCTTCTGAAGTCTGCTGTGGAGACTCCCTTGTTCTCTGAGCAGAAAGATCCTCCCCAGGAGCAGAAACCCTAGAAGAAGCAAGTCTTATTCCTAATCCTTTCCATCACTTCACCCTGGAGCCAAACCCAAGCAGTTATCTTCAGAAAGCATCAGATGATGCTCTTGTTGAACAGTGAGCTTTTCAAACCTCTACAGAAGGAATGTGGAAAACAAAACAGAACAAAAAGCAAGAGCCCCTCCTCCCATAGCATTACACAGCGATAGCAAACTCACTTTCCACAGACTTCTCTGTGCCTTATCCAAGCAAAGGGTTTCAATGCTCGCCTGTTACCTTCCCGTTAGTCTGCAGTTTTCTCCCCTAGCCGGTACCCAGGGCCACTTTGGGCTGCTCTGTTAGTCATCAGATTCCATTTTATTTACTGAGACATTTGTTGGGGGTCTCACAATGGGAAATAAATCATTGTGGTTATCTCAGGGCTGGAAGGACCCTCATGGTCAAATCGCCCTTCACAGACGAAGAGGCAGAGGCTCACAAAAGTTCACTACCTTTCTAGCTTCTGGGTGGTGAGATGCAGCCAAAACACCAGCCCTGCTACCCATGTGACCCAGTGACACCAGCTCTGGAACGCCCCAATCCACCTCCTCTGCCCAGCACCCTCCCTCGGGAGGCCCCACCCCCCAAGCGCATACCTTGGCGAGTTCATGCAGACACAGGACCCGGCGGCAGTAGGTCTTCCCGTGCACGCATTTGCTAGTCAGAGTTTCCAGGTCAGCCGCCACTCTGTCACTGGGCGGCACCATCACAACGGGCTGACTATCCAAACTTGAAGCTGGAAGCAAATACAGGGCTGAGAGCAGGCTAACCTCTGCCTGCCTGCTCGCTACCCACGGCGCCTCGCCTGTGGAGAGGTCCGAGAGCGCCTCCGCCAGGGTCCCCTTGTGGCTCTCTTGTCCCAGGACAGCCCAGCCCCAAAGATACCCGCCTCCACGTGCCACCCCCACCCCCCCAGTCATTTCATATACATCACCAGGTCTAGCCAGCTGCCCTGCCCTGCCGGCTTCACTCACCCGCCTGCCTCCCCGGCTCCAGCCTCCCCGATTCAGATCTTCCTAAAACGCAGAAAGTGAGGGCTGTCCCAGTGCATGCCTTAGTAAAATTAAAACCCTAATTTTTAAAAACACAAATGTCTATCAACAAGGAATTTCTAAATACAGCATGGGATCTCCATACAGTACAATCGATATTCTGCACTATGGAATATGGTCAACCCACATCCACTGATGGAAAAACATAACAAATAAGCTCATTTCACCATGAATGGAGAGATTGCGAGCCAGCAGCCCCAGGACTTGGGTGGGGGTGGGATTGACCGACTTTCCCTTTTTACTTTATGCACTGCTGTGTTACACTAACCTTGTGATTTTTTACACTTAAGGTATTCAGTGATAACAAAAGTTCTTTAAAGGTCAAAAAGTAAAAGGCAGCTCAGACATTTCCCTGCTTTAAAACCCTTCTATGAGCCTCAGTGGCAGGCATGGTAAGATGGAGCATGTGCTCGCTCCCCGCGCACCCACTGGGCTTGACCCCGGGACCTGGGCAGCATGCTCACAGTGGCTGGCTGTGGGAGGATGCTGAAAACGGCGGTGCACTGGCCAAGACGCCAGATTTTGGCGTCATGAAATAAGCTCTTGTACCACTTTGTTCCCCCTGCCCTAACCCCGGGCCCACCGCGATGGCAGGAGTTCAGAAGACCCCGTAGCACTGGCTAGGGAGCAGGAAAAGGTGGGCTGCGGAGGCCACAGCACAGACGGCTGAGAGGCAGGCGGGCTCTTCTGAATGGAGGCCCTCTGGTCCCAAGAAGATGGAGGTAGCCCCGCTAAGTTTCAGCTCTGAGTGTTCATCAGATGCGATGGAGGCCAAAAGGAAGCGATGTAACATTTTTAAAGTGCTAAGGAAAAGAACTCATTTTTGAATTCAGAGATACATAGATATCTATGCCACAATCAAGTGCGGTTTATCTAGGGCTGCAGGTCAGGTTTGACATA